CACACACACACACATATATATATATATATATATATATATATATATATATATATATATATATATATATATATATATATATAGTTTATATGTACCTTTTCGTAAGTTGAATTTGACACATAAAGAATCTACTTCGTTTAGGTTATATTTTTATCTCTATGTCGAATCTCATATTTCTGAAAATTTTAATGATTATTTTATAACTTTGTCTTTGTTTTGTTTGTTGCAGTTTCCTAAGATTATGAAACCGTCGACACTGTAGAATCCGCTATCATTTCTATCAATTATCTTACTTAGTTCGTGTAGAAAATATATAACTATGAGTCATTCAAATACGACATTTCATTTTCTTAGGAGCATGTGAAATTTTCTTTTTACAAAAATCTATTACTGGTATTTATTTTCTTTTACAATAATGTTTAGCTAATAACTTCTTTTTTTCTTCTTTTGAAATCTACATATTCTTTATGGCAGTTTGGGGATTCACTGTTTAGCCATTGCTGGGAATCTAACAGATGCTCCCACCTCAGGCCAATGTGGTCCTGGGAAGAACAGCAATTAAGAGAAGGTTCCATATTCCTCAAAACGTCCAAGCTCACAATCATATGTCTTGCTGCCGGATAGAGTTCGTTGTCATACATAAGACTTTCACTTTCTCTCTCCACACACACACACACACACATATATATATATATATATATATATATATATATATATATATATACACGAAGAAGAAGTAGAAGAAGAAGAAATATCGACTAAAAGATTTAACAAATAGTAGTACTACTGTTTACGTTTCAGATATGAAAATGTATTTACGTTTCGAATGCGAAAATGATACTAGCACATTTAGATGGTTAGAAGTTTCCACGATAGATGTACCTTTAATAAAAAAAGAATTTGAACTTTGCATTATCAATATTGTTTCCCGTCGTCAAATTGGTAATTGAACACTCTTTGGAATTAGTTCAATGTAACTTCATGCGTAAACACAAAATTATTCGATTCCAACATTATTATGTATTTCTTTTAATAGGTGACAATCACTTTGCTTTATACTGTATTTACATGCAGCACATACATAGGGCATTGTATATGTAGTTCTTATCCATATTTTATTTTGATGATAGTCTTCAACATTTATTTCTTTGGTTATGTTGAACGTATTCCTTAGAAGTTTTTATTTTAATTCATGAGCTAGGTAATGTGTGTGCGCCAGTGGTTTTAATCAGTGTAAAACCCCACGATAAATGAGAAAAAAAAAAAAAAAAATATATATATATATATATATATATATATATATATATATATATATATATATATACCTAATATTAGTGGTAAAATATACATATGCAATATATATATATATATATATATATATATATATATATATATATATATATATATATATATATATATATAAGTGAATACACATACATGTATATTTTTTTGAATAAAAAATTCCAAGAGGATAGAATCCAGGACAGCGTAAAGATATAATAAAAAAAGCTTAAACACTACCATGGAATATTAGTGTTTAAGCCTTTTTATTATATATATATATATATATATATATATATATATATATATATATATATATATATAGTGTACAATGAAAAAATATTAAAAAATTAAAATCTTCAGACACACTGGCTTGTAGATTAATATTTTTTCGTTTTTATTATTATTATTTTATTTAGATTCCTCGACTAGTTTCGGCCAACATGGCCATCATCAGGAGAAGAAATATTTCTGCTTGCTGGTAGCAGTAAGTTCTGACGAAAAGGAATGACACGTAAAGAAATCTAACTGCGATATCGAGTGAGCGAGTAACTGAGAAGCGTTGTTTATTGTATCCGCACTGCCGTATTTTCTCCTAACAGCCGGTTTTCGTAACGTCTTTTTGTATTATTTTCTTGTAATGTAAGAATTATTATTTATATTGTATAATCATTTGTTAAACTTACTCCCCTTTCTATTTGATAACATAACTTCTTTTATTTCATTTTTACTTTTGAAATATACATGTAGAATTATTTATCCCGTAATTAATGTTCTTTACTTTTCAAGTATCTCTTCTCTATCTTTGATTTTAAGCCAATCTAATTAAGATATCGTTATTATTATTATTATTATTATTATTATTATTATTATTATTTCTAATGTATACTTATTTCTTTCTGGGTCCCAAGCAGAGACCTAAGGTCAGCAATGGCTTCAAGACATTTTCCACTGATCATTTTTTTGAGAAAAAAAAAAACTATGATTACACATATTTTACATAGATAAAAACCATCGTAATGTGTGAGCTGTACTTGTGAGCAAAATTGTTTGTATTTCTTTGTGCCTTGGGCTATCAAGGATCTCTTCACTGAGTCTATCGGAACCTTTTGCAATTACAACTAGTATTGCTGATGTCATCACGTGCCACATTTTTGTGATTGCAACATCAAGGTCCTTATATTTTCATAGATTTTTAAAGAGTTTCAAAGATGCATTACAGTGTGCAGGAATTGCCATGTTAAGAAGAATCATATTCTGTTTTCTTTTTCTTTTAGTTTTGGTCTCTGATTACGATGTCTGAGCGAAGAGCTTTGATTATTCTGTCTGTGTTTATTGTAAGGTCTCCTAAAATTGTTACAGGTCCTTTGCCTCTAACCGATTCTGGGAAGTGTTCGTACCAATTTCTTGCAGTTTTCTTTACGAAAATGTTGCATATTTTCCAATGTACATATTGACCACACTTTCATTATTATTATTATTAGTAGTAGTAGTAATAGTAGTAGTAGTAGTAGTAGTAGTATTAGTAGCAGTATTTGCTTTGATTTATGTTGTATACTGATTTTACTTTCGGGTCCCAACCAGGAACCTAAGGTCAGAAATGGCATCATGACATTTTCCACTGAACATTTTTGAAAAAAAATAAGAAACTTACTAGTATACGCATTTTACATACATAATGTGTGTGATCTAATTGTGAGGACAATGTTTGGTATGCTTTTAAGTTATAGTATAACAGATATCCCTTCAGTGAGTCTATCAGAAAACCTTTCCAATCAAACCCAGTGCAACTGGAAATATTGATGTCTTCATTTTTACATTTTTTAGATTTCAACTTAAGGAATCTTGCAATTTGATAGATAAGAACTTCAAAGGCATATTACATCCCGTAGGAAATGTCGTGTCAATAAGAAAGCATATTCTGTTTTAGCTTTGATTGTTCTGTTCGTATGTATTTCCAATGATCATGAACATTGTTCAATAAAATTGTTTCAAGTTCTATCTCTGTAACCGAGTTTGGTCAGTGTTTATACCAATTTCCTGCAGTTTATTTCCCATAAATGTTACATATTTTCCAGTGTATATATTGGCCAAACTTGTCATGCCGAATTCTATATTTAGTGGATGCTAATATCGAGAAACCTGATAAAAAATGGTCAAATGTTTCAGGTCATTTATCACAGAAATTGAATGTGTGGTCAACACAAATCTTCAGTATGTTTGCTTGATCATTTCTAGCTAGTATTGTTTGACTTCCGTTTTTAATCCTGCACTGTGCAACGACTGATGCGTACAAGATTTTTTACATTATTATTATTATTATTATTATTATTATTATTATTTCCACTTTCTTTTCTGATTAGATATGTTGATATTATGTAGAAGGTTATATTATTTTTAACATTTTTCCGCGGATGTCTTATCTTCTCAAACACCCGCTGTCTTCCTGTCCATTCAGTTCAACTTTGTAAAAAGATCATGATTCTAAACCACAATCCATTTCTTTAATGTTCATAATTTATCTTGGTTTCCTTATATGCTTCTCCCATTTCTTTCTCTATTTTAGTCTCTATATCTCGCCCCCCCTGTCATATTTCTATATCTCCTTTTATTTTTTGTCTTCACTTTCTTCTTTTCTACATTTTTCTTTTCTTTTTTTTTTTTTTCTCTTGATCTTCCCTATTCGTTCGCAATAAATACTTGCTTCTTATCTTGACCAAATACTGCACTTCATGCATTTTCCATGGTTCCAAATTTGAACTGATGTTTATCATCGTACTTGTACGGAGTCATTTTGTTCTGAAAAAGTCAATCTGCCTTCTTGCTTTTATAATTGCATCAAACATCCTAATATTAAAATATGTACATTCTTTAGTCAGTGTCCATTCTCCTTTTCCCGGGTTTGAAAAATATTTAAACAATAGGAGCACCTGGTAAAGCACTAAGCGCATTGGTCAATGTAACACATCCTCGATAAAATGACGTTGTTTTTGTAGCTATAAACGCGTATCGTATAAAATATTCGCCCTATAAGTGTTTAATGATTGTTTAATCATTTAACACCAGATATGATTCTGCAGTTTATTTGGCCAAATGTTTCGTATTCTTATATTTTGTGTCCATTTTGGAAGTGGGCAATTATGGCTCAAACAATACGTCTTGTCTTTTGAACCTCAATATACGTTTGGTCTGCATGCTATCTCTACTAATCCCTGATCTTTCAACTAGTTATCCAGGCTTCTTAGGTAAGTTATTTGCTGCCTTGCTCTGTCCCTCTTGCATTCTTTATGCCCTATGTGTTTCACATTCTCCAAGCCGTTTTTCTTCATTATATATCTTTCTGATTATAATTAATATCATCCTGCTATGGGTTAAATCATAAGGCAGATTAGGTTAACTAACCTTAGTTAATAATAAAGAGAAAGAAAACTCAATTTCAAACCTTGAAGAAGTTAACGGAAGCATTCAACTACCTTCCTTAAGAATTCATTCTGAGATTAATTATTTATTAATTCATATTCTACAGTTTGTCAACTCATTGCAGTTTATTTAAAGCCATTTTATTTGCATGGTAAATAGCTGGTGGTTAAAAGAGGTTGATTACTATATTTCGATGGGTATTTGCGCGTAAGTAGATATAAAGAACGCAACCGGAATTGTAACTCGGCTCTCAGATTAAAAATTCCGAGCCATTATCCATTGCACAACCCTCAAATGCAAACATACAGCACCTGGTATTCCCAAAAGTTCACAAATCAAGGAACTGACCAACCTCTACGTTGCTTAACTTCAGCGATCGTAGGGAAACCGGTGTTTCAAAGTGTTATGGCTGTAAGACAATTTTCATATTAGAAATAAAAGAAACACTTGAAGAATCCAGATCTCCTACCTTCTGAAAGACGGTGTAATTTGACAACAGTTAGAAACATCAGGGTTTCTCAGCATTAGAAAGGTTGACTAAATTGTGGTTAATTCTTTGGGGGAATATTCTTTTATGAATCTGTCATGGGTCCTTACCTATAACTACAGAATGAACTCTTCCTAACACTATGTATACTACGCCTCTCAAGAGAGAGGGGCGAATCGAATCGAGCCGATAGTATTTCATTCCAAACCATACTGACAGTCATACTAACACCTTCCACATCTTGTATTATTATTTTGTGTAATATGCCTTCGTTATTTCTACTCTTGTGTTCATGTTGTTCTTTTCTGGTCCTAACCTGGACCATAACAGAATCAAAGACGTCAAAGATTATGAATCTTTACAATATCCTGTCCCTTCATACTCGAAATACTCAATACCGCCGATTCAGCACCGGCCAAATGGCGATGGCTGTCATAGTGTGCACATCTCTTAGTCGATTTTGAGTTGTAAAAAATTTCAAACTTTTGGCTCTTTATATGAGTGATTTAATAATTATAACTGTTTGGCTGACTGGTGTTCAAGTTTTAAACATTTCGTCTCACCGAAAAGGAATCACAGTGCTGGGAATGGAACACCAGTATTATGGAGATACATTACGAGCCTGCAAAGAAACAGATTTGCATTTTTGAGCAATTAATTAGAAGTCACCTCCTTCCCATAATATGAAGGCAGATGAAAGTATTCGGCAGATTGTTTCTTCTTTTTCAGAACGATCTCCCCCAGAATATTTGAAGGGAATTGCATACATTTTTCAATAACTCGTTAAATTAAAATAAAGAAAATTATTAAAAAATGATGCTTAATAAATTATTTTGATTCCGTTTTAACAAGTTACGTATTAAAAATGGTCCTTAATAAATTACTTTTATTCTTTATTAAATTCAACGAAAATATTTCACAATTTGCATGTCATTGAGTTGGCGGTGTTGAGTCAGTGGGGTTGAGTTGGCGGTGATGAGTCGTCCTGCAACCCAGAAGTAAATATGTAAATTTTGCGATAATTCTTTTAACTTCTGTCATCTTTTCACAGAAGCGTTTCAAGTAGATTATTCTATGCTGTATATGTTTGAGTCGGCGGTGTTGAGTCAGTGGCGTTGAGTTGGCGGTGATGAGTCGTCCTGCAACCCCGAAGAAAATATGTAAATTTTGCGATACTTCTTTTAACTTCTTCTGCCATCTTTTCACAGAAGCGTTTCAAGTAGATTATGCTATGCTGTATGTGTTTGAGTCGGCGGTGTTGAGTCATTGGCGTTGAGTTGGCGGTGATGAGTTGTCCTGCAACCCCGAAGAAAATATGTAAATTTTGCGATACTTCTTTTAAATTCTTCTGTCATATTTTCACAGAAGCGTTTCAAGTAGATTATTCTAAGTTGTCTTGCTTACAAATATAACCTGAGTACCTTAAACCTTTGAGCCCTGCCTTCCCGAACAATTTTAACCCTTCTGCATGAGTTTCAGAGTAAAAATAAATCGCAAATAATAAGTGTCTGAACATGAAGTAATTTTTCTCTACCACTGCTCAACCGTTGGCTGGATATTACGTCATATTTCTCTGCCATCGGTAAAGTGGTGTCAGGGCTCAAATGGTTAAATTTTCTATAATCTATGTCTCACTTATTCGTCCCATAGTTTTGAACTGTTTCTGTCGTATCTACTCATAAGTTGTATTCATTTCGCATCCATTTTCATCTGTGAAGAAATTATCCATTATTTACTTCCATAGAAGAGAATAGATTGCAGTCCTTTGTTTTTTTCTGGTGAATGTTTCTGAAAACATTGCTTTTCCTACAATATGTCCGAGACATTTCAGTTCCATTTCTGAGATTGCTTTAAGCGATAGGTGTGGAAATTACAACGAAAATGTGACTAAAAATTATCGTTGTAATCTACGTGTCTCTGAATAAGAAGGACTGTTGGGGAAAATATTGTACTCACAAGATAAAACCGGAGATATTTGGGTTTGAAAACTATAGTCATCTCTACGCAACTTAATTTCGAAGAAAATCTTTACGCCAAAAATCTGTGAAGAAAATTCTTATCAATTCTTCTTCGATTCATTTTCAATTGTAAATGCCTCTAAAAATTAAGAGAAGGAATCCGGCGTCAATACTTGAAAGTGAAATTTACTGGAAAATAAACAAACATTTTAACAGAAAGACTTTCGTATATTCAACATAACGTAACAGTGGCTGCTCTGTCAAATAATGCTGAATGGTTCCTTATAAAAAAAACGGATAATATTACGCTAATCACCATTAAAACTATACGCTGGCAACGATATCTTTCACATAGAAATAATGTAATTTTACTCAAACACTACCTGTACCAGTTTAACTCTGTGCTAAACAAAGCGAAGTAAATTTCCAAATATTTCCATAGTCTTGAGTCGGCAAAACTCTATTGCCCCAACAAAAGAATATGATTTGTTAAGATTAAGGAAATATTTATCTTATACAAAATGTTATTCTATCTCTCTCTCCCTCTCAATATAATATATATATATATATATATATATATATATATATATATATATATATATATACACGTGATAAAATATAGCATACATTATGTAATAATTATGGGTTAAAGTCCTCAATATAAGGGAGAGAACGTATACAAATATAAAAGAAGACATTGAACTCAAAAAAGCTAGAGGCCACGGTTTTTTCATGCCATAGCCTGACGATATCGTTTAGCATGAAACAGACTGTCGCACCTGAGTTTTGAATTAATATCCACACACGCATATATATATATATATATATATATATATATATATATATATATATATATATATATATGTGTGTGTGTGTGTGTGTGTGTGTGTTTGTGTTTAATGGAAAGATACGCGTTTGTGAACTATCTCGTCAACTAAATACTGCTACCTGTTTCCAAAAGAAAAACTGTTGTAGATACCTGCTAAGGCACATTTGGGATTTGCCAACGATAACTGAACCAAAATGTGGCTGATACTACAAGAATTCATACTGCAAGTGTTGTTGTTGTTATTATTATTATTATTATTATTATTCACTAAGTGAGAATTGTCTAGCCTTATAGGGTTTCAATAAAATTTTCCTTCAACTGAACCATCGACGGTTTTGTACATTGTCGTCTACTAATTTTTTGGGTCAATTTTTATCAGTGTTGGTTGATAACTTCAATAAATAACCACTCTGATAAATCGACTCGAACCCGAGTAGCATCATCAAAAAGATAACTTTCTAGTCAACCGACCATGGGTACACACGTACACATACATATTTACCAAAATATAAGAATTCAATATTGATAATTTTTAATAAGTGTTTCGTAAGGTTAAAAATTTGTTATACTAAATAACATTTTATTTAGATTCAATTACCGTAAATTTTCAATCAAAATTAGATTTCCAACGGGCGAATATCACGTTACATTTTTCAGGCGCATCGCTGTCCTTCGTGCAGTGTGAATCATGATATATAAACATGAAGGTATTTGGAAATTCTGGGACGTAAAATATGGAGAAATTGCTTTGAAAATGCGACCTTCACATGACATATTGATACTAAAACTGGCAGAGGAAAAGACCGTGTAACTTAGTTAATGAGTTTGTGTACATTCTTGCCAGAACTTAAACAGGGATGGGTAATATGAATTTCAAATTAAAGCCACAAGTGATAAGAATTCGTGGAGAACCATGAACGGCACGTACATGAAAATAGAACAAGAAGAAACAATAAAAATAACACATAAAAATTACTATTAGACTTTGGTTAAATACATGTGTCATTTATTACTTTTTTATTTTTATTTTTTGCAAAACCCTCTTTTATGTTGAGTATGTCTACTAGTAATGATGAAAATAATTAAGATCAAGCAATGTGATACTACCAGGCTCTTAGGTATTTTCCCCGGCGCTTCCCTCGCCTCCTCCCACCCATTATATCTGATTTCTCCATTTCTCATTTTAAATTCAAATCCAAAAACAACCATATCTCCGGAGAGTCTCCGGCACGAACGGAAGGCGTAAAGACCGTAAACGGTATTATTCTGGGTCAAAAGCGAATCGTCTTAGCGGATGTTTTCTTTTTTCCTTATTTTTTTTTCCTAAATTCAAGACTAACTATAAGGTTACCCAAAATAAATATTTTATAGCGCGTATGATGGAGACAGTAAGACGTTACAGCAGATCATCTGGGATCCGCAAATATTAAATAATTCAAAAGAAGACAAAACGTCAAAGGAGGGCGTATAAGGTAATCTTTCTCATCTGGTTGAGTTAAGAGAAGATGTGGGAGATAAATTTCTGTGAAATGGAACTTTTTTTCTTGGTGTAAACAAAAGCCATTGCAACCCAAGCATATAAGTGCCACATATCCTGACTTTTAGTGACATATGCTGTAGCAGGAAATACTTCTAACGGATTATTACTATGAAAAGTGGACTTTTTTTTATAAAAAGTGTTCCGCTAATACAAGAGCCAAGATACACTCAAGGTAGAGGCTAACTGTTCGGTGTTGTATGAGAGTAAGTACGGGGTGGGGATCCTGATGCGCAGTTCATGGGGCATTGCAGGAAATATAATGTTTATTCCTGAACTTCCAGAGCTGAATTTTATAGAGATTGGGAAAAGATCCTGCCTAGAGCGTGTTCCACAAAGCAGCAATTCTTGGGAATTTACTTCTTACTATAAGAATACGAAGGGATTGATGGTGATACGCTTTTATATAACAATAACATTAATATAAGTAACATATCGAGACCCAGTTGTAAAGATAATGGGGAAAGTTAATTGGACTAAGAGATACAGCTTGTCAGAACACAAGGAATGAAACAAAACTCTTGAAATAATGCATTGCGTTCCCTTTGCATTTCAGTCGTTCAATGATATATATGATTCATTGATTCCTACTTGTATTATATA